TACACTTCATATTTAGTGCTGAAATCTAATTTGAGTTTGAAAGGAAAAGAACTGCATTTACGAGTTACGCTGCTATAAGCTGATTCATGGTCAAAACTCGTAAAATTTTAAAGAAACCAGCAGATAAATATTTTGAATACTCGTTGCAAGGATATTTACCGAAATGCGAAAGACTGCACCTGTTTTTAGTGCAGCAATTTTAAATTTCCAAAACACATTGTATCAAAAGGTATCCTGCTTCCATGATTCAATACTCCAAATTTTCTTCAATAACGTTATAAATGAATGGTAAGGAAACGTGCATGAACAAAACAAGAAAGTAAAAATACAAAAGTCTCTATGAAGTTTTTTTATTTGCTCTAGCATTTATGTTGCGGAAAAAAAGCTACAGTTGTGTATGATCATTGAACGTCACGGCGCATCCTCATCGTGAAATCACAACTGGCTTTAATGCCTTCGGAGGGAAGAATACTTTTCTCTCATATTAAAAGCACTATCTGACATTGGCTATACAGATAATATTAATGTAAAACCTGTGACTGAAGTAGATTCAGTTTTCGGTTAAACATGGAGCTTAAGTGGGCTACGAACTAACCAGGTCCTGTCTAGAAAAAAAGCTTAAGTTTGTTTACTGTGGAACGAAGGAAAAACTAACATCACAAGCCAAAAGTGTAAAACAAAACTGTTTAAGAAAAATGTGTGCAACAATAGCGTTAACAACAGATTATATTATAATTATCATAGTATCTAACAATTATCACAATTGTAATTTAGTATTGTATGTAATCCAGAATATAAAAGCATTACTAAATTATTTTAAAAAACCCTACCGATATTTAAAAATATAAAATAAATAAAAATTTAAAACAATCGCATCAAAATAGTACCAGTTTATAAGCTAAAGACGTGCAATATAGTCCAGAAGACTTTTAAACAGAAATAAAAGATCTGAAAGCTTTAACATTTTATATTACGCCCAAAGGGGCCTTTTGCTTCATTTACATACACATACACATTTCGAGAGCATTTCGCTAAAAATATTTTAAAACAGCCTATCTTTAGAATTTCCAATACACAGTTTCGAGGGCTGGAGATAAATAGGTTTTTCCGTACAGTGTTGCGATAGCATGCTCTGAAATCATTGAGTTTGCTAATAAAAAATTCATTAAAGTTTTACGAAATATGAAACACACAATAAACAAAATTCGAAATTTAAAATTCGGGATTCCAGGTGTCCATGTTCGGGTGGGAGACTACGTTATTCAAAATTCGATGGCTCTAGGTACCGTTGTTTTTTCACTATGTGAAAAAAATGCATACATTCATGCAAATTCTTCATTATTTAATTTCTTTAAATATAATACAATACGATAATAATTGGTGGAAACAATCTGAAAAGTGATTCGACGCAAAAGGCCGTTTCGAGAAGAAGTGCTCTTCTGGGCCAACGCCCCTTTGGGCTAAAAAATTAAATTAAAAAATAAGTCTGAAAAGATCTAGATTTTTAACAGTCGCTCAGAAGGGCTCATTTAAAGTTTAATATGGTTTATCAATAGAGATTATCAATAGACATTGCCAAAGTGCTACAGCGAAATATTTTACAGAATATTAGATGAACATGCATTTAGACTAACATTGAACCGTACATATCATCTGTATATTTGAAAACGGAAAAAATATGTAACATAATTCTGTAACAATATTTAATGTTTTTAACTTTGATATATCATGAATTAATAACATTTTAATTTAAATCAAACATATTAAACTGTAAAAAAAATCATAAGAACTGTATCGATTGCTTTTGAATAGCTTAGTTAGTTTATTAGTAAAGACAAACGAAATTTGAATAGTAACTATATTGCTTTTTTCTGAATGGCAACAGACTCGAATAAAAAGTAATATGACGCATTATAGTAGAACACGCAAAATCGTGTTTCGTTTAGTAGAGAAGTGGAGAAGAAAAAAAGAAAATTTGCGCACAACCAAAACATTCTAACCGAACATTTTTTCATATGTTTGAATTCAACGGCACTGACCAAGTTCATTTATAAACACACATCTTGAATGCAATTTGAAATTTATGGCCCGAGTTCATCAGCGGCCAAGTGGTGAACGCTGGTAGTTCGGTCTGTGTCTCGAAATCCGTCGAACGACTGCCGAAAACGACATGGGAGTTTTCGTGATTCTTTCTATGTGTAACGTGCATACGAGCCAGTTTCCAGGCCCTCCATAAAAGCATCCTCCTCCTTAGGCAGATAGCTCTCGAGAGCTTGGCCAGAATCAAATAAACGAAACTAAATCATAACTTAGTGCTCAGGTGAATTTCACCACAATGTAGCTGTATGAGTAACTACATCAACTCCTTAGATACTAGGGGTTTGTTGAATATTATTAAATCGTGAATATGAGAATCAAGAGATTTTTAGCTTGTAAATATAATTTGTTGACTATTAAACGTAAATAAGAGATTATATTTCATTTTTTGAGAACTAAATGTACTTTTTTTGCTCATAAGTAAGTGTGGAGCAAATAAGGAGGATAAGCAAAACTAGCTTTTAAACTTTCAAAACTTGATGAACCATGTAGAATAAGCATATGATGTACTGAATCATGGAGTCAGAGACAAATGAAAAACGATTAAATGCTAATATCTGCCCTTATAGTATTCTGTTTGTTTTAAAGTAAATTTTTAGCAAAACGGTGAGGCTATTAATTTCAAATCGGCATTTGGATCGATTCACTTTTTAAACTGTTGCCACCAAATATTATCGCCCTGTGTTATATTTAAAGAAACTAAACAATGAAGAATCTGCATGAATGTTTCTCGCATTGTGAAGAAACAACGATACCTATAGCCATCCAAATTTGAATAACGTGATTCTCCAACCGAACATGAGGCTCTTGGAAGACTGAGTTTTGAATTTGCTTTCGAATTTGTTCTATTTCAATTTTTTAAACTTTAACGAATTTTTGATTAACATACTCAACGATTTCAAAAGCGAGCAATGGCAATACTGTACGGAAAAAAATGTTTTTATTTCCAGCACGCAAGACTGTGCATCGGAAATTCTAAAGATATGCTGTTTTGAAATATTTTATGATATTGCTGTTAAATTGAATTTTACGGTTTAAATGCGAAGAACATGATATTTAATAAATAAAGGTAACACACGAAACGTTACAAAAACTTCCTTTTGGGAGTAATATAAAACCTGTAATCTTTCAGATTTTCTTTCTTTCTTTTGTTAGCATTTTTTAAAGGAATTTTCTCTGCCGCTTTCTTTACCCCGTATATGAATCTGATCAAGTAAAAGAAGACATAAAATAAAATCTTAAATTTTTAAAAATTAACAAATCAGGAAAATCTTTCAAAAAGGAGGATATACACCAAAATGACAGGAAATAAAATTGCAGAAAGGGAAAGTAAAGTGAAGAAAATGATGTAGATCCATCTTTTCTTGAGCGGCATAATGTATTTATAACGAAATCAGCACTATCTAGCAACACTTTTCAGTTCTGAAGAATCTAGCACATTTGAAAAACTTCATGTTCCTCCTCATCTCCATATCACGACTTCAGGGTTCTCTAAAAATGTCTTCATAAGCACAAATCCACACAATGTAGACACGTATGTCATCTATAAAGAAGATTAAATTAAATGTGAAATGAATCCATTGGTCTATGTCCAGCTGAGGTTTACGGCGTAACGGAATGGTAACAAACAATTGTCCGTGAACGGAATTCAAATCTCGAGATTTATTATATTTCTAAGTTATGACTAATTCAGTTATTGCAACTAATCTGTTCGCTATAAATATCATAATACTAAAATCCTAAATTTACATTCTTAAAGCCGTGTTTTATTATTATTATTTATACTGGTAGTAAAAAGTATTTAGACTATATCTTTATTAGATAACCATTGTGCTGTCTCAAGAAGCAGAATTATGTCTCAAGAAGCAGAATTATGAAGCTATTGTAACTCCAAAACTTAGAACTAAAGTTACAGACGTCCTTAGCGAAGTCTTTCCAAAACGTTTGGAAACACTGCAATACAATACACTACTCTGTAATGTGTTGCAGCCTTGCCATCTTTGCAAGTGTTGCCATTGCTTGAAACATAAGGTGTTTAACTCATTTTTTATGTACTTTGTGGATAGCCAATTCTCAGAGTTTTCATTCGGTAAAATGTTAAAGAATTTTTTTTATCATCTTAATTTCATCAATCTGTAAATCCTTAACAATCTGCACGATTTAAAATGGAATTCCCAATTTATCTCCAGGTCGCGAGACTCTAAAGACAGGCTGTTTTTAAATATTTAAAAAAAAAGTGACGTTCGCTTAAACACTCTCGAAAAGTGTACGTATTTGTAAATGGAGGGGGGGAAGCCCGTTTGGGCGTGAGGTAGGGTATGAATACACCCGGGCGTAATATAAAATCTGAAAGCTTTTCAGTTTCTTTTTAACTTTTATTTTTCTATTTTATTTGCTGCACATGCAGAATTAAATTTAAAGGGATAAATACTGGATTTCACTTTTTTTTTCTACATATCACTAATAGAGTAACTTTATACAGAGCAGGGTTCTCAGCACATTTTTGCACCATACACCCCTTTCACTATGGCTAGAACCTTTTCAAAAGTGCAAAAATAAATATATATGTTTATCTAGATTTAGATGAATTCTTAAATTTTTTTTTATAGATTAAACAACAAAAGCGTAGAATTTGTTGAGATAAATACAAAAAACTTGAATAAAGGCAGTTTTATTATATTCACAAATTAAAACTAAATACTTAACACGTAAGTAAAAAGCTGACCGCATTTCCTCCGAAATTCCTCCCCCCCCCCGGGATGAGTTCCCACCCGTTTGAGAATCACTTATATAGAGTTTCTTTGACTTTAAAAGGAAATTAATTAACAGTTTATAATAATATTAGAGCATCTGCATAATTATACTTCCAGGTAAAACAATTTTTTAAGAACAAACAAACTCACCATATTTGATCAGCTGATAGATGGATTCCAGTCGGTAGATTTCTTAACTTCCGCGATATTATTACACTGTAAAAACAATTGAGCGTTTTCAAAAATAACTCTATAAACAAAAGGTGAAGTTTTGTACAATGCTAAATTCCCACATCAGCACCTATAGCATATCCGCTTCCACTCCAGCTATCCAAAGAGAAGAGATTCATGCGTCTTCTGTCGTTCGAGGAGTCACAGTATTTAAAACTGCCACTTTAACTTTCTCGTTAGGGTTGCTCGTATATGTTGTCTGTACAAAATCGCCAAATCAGAAAATCAACGTCGCCAAACCAACCAACCTGCTTCCGCGTCGTCATACTCTAAGCGAACTCAGATATTGCTTGGCGTGATTGAATTACGTGAACAGACTGGCAAAATTTATATTTAGAGCTAGTTATTTTTATTTAATGATTTAATATGTGATTCAATTACAAGACATGCAGACAGGTAATAAATATTTCAAGGATTAACCTTTTTTATAACCAAAAAATCACGTTTCATTATTTTACTCAAGAAGAATTAACTTTCAGAAGATCTATTTATTATTCTCTTACCGCACATCTTGTCAATTTAAAAGTGTATGAATGCATCTCGTAAAGCTTTTGAGATAAGATGCAATAAACAAAATTATTTTGTATAATGTCATGCCGAAAATACGTAATACATGACATTAGGAAATTATTTTTATTAGTTATAGTAATAAAATAAAATGCAAAAATAATAAATCTGAAAGGTTTCAGAATTTAAAATATGTTCAAAGGAGCTTTTGTCTTAAACATTTTGTGTGTTACTTATATTTATTAAATATCATATTCTTCGCACTTAAACACTAAATTCAGTACAACAGCAGTATCGCAAAATAATTTTAATATAAGCATATGTTTAGAATTTCCGATACAGAGTCTCACGCGTTGGAGATAAAATGTTTTTTCCCCCGTACAGTGTTGCCATTGCTCGCTTTGAAATCGTTTAGTTTGTAAATCAAAAATTCGTTGAAGTGTTACAAAATGTGAAATCGATAATAAAACAAATTTCAAATTCAAATTGGGCTTCCTCATGCCCATATTCTATGGAAGATTACATTATACAAGTTTTGATGGCTTTAGGTACCGTTGTTTTATCACAGTGGGAGAAACATACATACATTCATGCAGATTTTTCATTATTTAATTTCTTTAAATATAATTAAGGGCAATAATGTTTGGTGGCAACGATTTAAAAAGTGAAACAACGCTTATCGTGAATGAAGCAAAATGCCAAAACGAAATTAATAGTCCTTCTGGGCAAATTGCCCCTTTGAACTAAAAACGTTAATGATATTATTTAGAAATGCGTATATTGCTTAATATTTTATAAACAATGCTGTCTTATTTATGTATAAATAAAAATCTGATGTGGACACCACATCACTTCCTTGTCCGGCCGTAAGATCGTAATATTTTACACCGTAAGCTCAATATTAATATTTGTAATCAGTGTACAGGAGTTTGCTACAGAACACAGCTGAATTATTATTAGCTTACATAGATATATTACATGCGTAATGTGCAATTCAGGTTAGTTGAGAGAATTCCGCATTACAATGATAAATTTAAAGAATGTTCTTTTTAGAACAACAATAAACTGATATATTAAATATCGTTATTTACAATTTAAATATTATTAGACTAACTTTTTTTTACATATACGATTATCATCGAACTATTACTGCAGCTCATGCTACCGAACTGAATAGAAAAGTAAATAGAGCTATTTTGTAAAATAAAGCTATTGCATTTAATTTTCAATCCCAAATCTTCATATAGTAAAATAACTTTATGGAAAGTAATTATTAGTCATAAATACCTAAAGAAAATAGTTTTTCTAATGGTGTTTTTCTTTCGTCAGGTTTCGCTACGTAAATAATAAGAAAAAGAGAGTTTTACTACAGAAGTAGGATATTGTGGTGTTTTTACATCGGGTTAGGCTAGTCTGTCTATCTTAAAACAGTTTACATTTTTGTCTTCTGAGGCCTCTTTAAACAAAATAAATTTGAATTTATAATAGGTTATGACTTTTATTAGCCCAAAGGGGCAATTTTCCCAGAAGGACTATTAATTTCGTTTTGGCATTTTGCGTCAGTTCATTATAAACGTCGGTTCACTTTTCAACTTGTTGCCACGAAATATTAGAGCCCTGTATTATGTACTATTTAAAGAAATTAAATAATGAGGAATCTGAATGAATCTATGTATGCTTCTCCCATTGTAATAAAAACGACAGTACCTAGAGCTATCAAATTTTGCATAACGTAATCCTCCACCCGAACAACTGGAAGCCCGAATTTTGAATTTCGAATTTTTTTTTGTGTATTTCATATTTCGTAAAACGTTAACGAATTTTTTATTAACAAACTCAATGATTTCAAAGTGAGCTATGGCAGCACTGTACGGGAAGAAACCTTTATATATCCAAGTGTGCGAAACTATCTGTCTATCGGAAATTCTAAAGATATGCTGTTTTTAAATATTTTGTGATATTGCTGTTAAATTGAATTTTATGTGATATAAGTGCGAAGAACATGATATTTAATAAATAAAAGTAACACACTAAACGTTAAAAAAGCGCACCTTTGGGCGTAATATAAAATCCGAAACCTTTCATATTTTTTTTTATATTCAAATTATTTCTCTTTTATTTCGATGGATAATTATTACTGCTAAGCCTAATGATATGTTACATGCGACATCAAATTCTTTTCTATTTAAAATAAAATTTAATCATCCTCAAATGCTGTATTTACGAATTAGTACATTCAACGTGAATCATTTATTGAGGGTGAACATGTTGCAAGTGCAAGAATAAAAAATTCAGCTCTTTGAGTCACGAGTAATAAGTTCGTGACTGGGTATTAAGCGTGAAATGATGAATACCACCCTCGACAATTACTGTTTTTAGTTTTCGTAACATGACTCACCGCTTTCATCCTTCCCATCTACTGTTAAGTTGGTCACCAATGATGAAAAGAGTGTTTAACCTCTTCTAAGGACGTCTTTCCAGAGTTAATTAAGATTAATCGTGTAAGCTTTAGCTAAGAATGCAGACATCTCTGATCGATCATGTGTTTTTTTTTTCTGTTATATGTATGTATTGCGAATGAAACCAAAGATGAAAGTTTGATTCACGTATTACTTATACGGAACTAATTCATCAGAAATTTAAGATAGGAATGTATCTGCATACCTGTTGATCTTTAAATTTAGCTTATACATCCGAGTACTACCCATCCGAGAAAATAACATGAAGAACGTTTAATTTCCGTCAAGAAAGTTCATTTATTGTAGACACTACGTGCAGTCAATACGTGGGATAATTTAATAAATTAAATGACAATACTAAAATGGATTAGGCATGGATCATTATTTGGCGTGTTATTTTAACCTGGATTAGGCATATTTTAATTTACAATAACAAAGAAAACGTTTAGAATTACAAATATCAAAGCAAAAACGTTTTATCTTATACCCTCTTGTTGCCATTCTAGAGAAACTAAACTTCGCAACAGCAAAAATAATTTTATACTAAGAAAGAGCATCTATTTCATTTCTGAGAAGTGATATACATTCGGAATTCGCTATACCTCTTCCGCAACACCATTTTCTGCCATTCCATGTTCCAAATAATGTTATTTAATTCTGCAGCTATTGCTCTCCGAACTATCGTTTTACCGCATTAATCGTTTATAAATCACGCAGAATTTCTCTCATGGACGGTTTCAGGAAGAAAATTGCAGCGAAGCACCTATTTATTTGTTATGTGACCTTCTCTTTGGAACATAAATGCAATAATGTTGTAGCGTATTTCACGCGGCTTTTAGTACTGTGTCGACGTTATTAACGTCATTTCCGAAATGTTATTTTATTACAAATATAAGTGAGTTTATTTCTGTTAATTTTCATTCGTTTATTTTAATTGGTTTTCAAAGGCTTCAAGGTTAGTTTTTGATTTGATTTTGCAAGAAGTACGAAGGATAAAATGTATAAGATAAAAATGAACGAAAGATGTGGCCAGGCTTCGCCGAGATCAAGGAAGCTTTACAAAAATGTTAAAACCATTCTTCCATAGTAAAGTGGATGAGATGCAGACCGTGAAAACATTTTAAGTCCATTAAAGTTATATTTTCAATTTTCATCTAGGAAGCAAAGGACAATTAATGAATATTTTGGAAAATATATAGTTTCTTAACATAGCATACAGGAAATAATAGATATTATTTATTTAAAATAAGCTACATTTTTACAACGTGTAATAATTTTGAGGCCTAATCGTTTTCTCGTCCCCTTCTCTGTTTCAAAAATTACAAATTGCGGTCTGACTGTATAAAATAAAGAGAACTGAAATGGAGCAAGACCTATAATACACTGATTTTACTCGGAATGTCATTTTTTATGGAAAAAAAGAAAGTTTTTTTTATATTATTAACTATTACCATACTAATATAAATATATTTGCTTGCTGTATATTCGAGCAATACTTAAACAGAGCTTACACATAGTTACAGCACTTTATCTTGGAAGTATAGAATTTTCTTCTGTAAACTAAGATCCACGAAGCTGGGTATAATGTGTTATTGATAATATCACACAGAATTACGGTATTATTTTATTGATAATTGCCAACTTAGAGCGAAGATACATCCAAAGAGTGAAGAAAGCTTGATGAAATTTATTTGGTACCTTTCGTATTAAAGTAACTACCTTGGCGCCAATTGACGATTTTTTACAGATGAAAAGGTAGAAGTTTCTTTTCGCGTGTAAACTGTTGGTTTTTCTGGCTTTTTTCTAGAAAGATTTCCAAACTATTGACGTTTATCATAATGAGGCAATATCAACATTACCTCATTATGATAAACATACGAAAAAAATATAGATTAGCAATTTAAAATGCAAACTTTAATTATTAAATAAGGATTACATGATATAATTAAAATAAAACATTTACGTTCTTCAGTTAACGTTACGTTCTTTCTGTAATTGTTTTGCACTATTCTTCTCTGGAGGTACACAGTTATCTGTTTTTGCTTAAAAAAACATCGGAGAATTGCAGAACTCAGCTGCTGTTACCGTGTGAAAACCACGATAACAGCAGCTATCAAGGAAACACATTTCTTCGTTGTCCCTTTAAGAAAATTTTCAGCAAACTTCTGCATTCTTGCAGAAATTCTACCGCA